ATCCTTACCCATAGGCTCTCAACTTGCTCTTCATCCACCCTGAGGCAGAGCTCCATACATTCTAGTTGCTCCCTCACATAAAGAGCAACTCCACCACCTCGCCTTCCTGGCCTGTCTTTCCTAAAAAGCACATAGCCATCCATGACAGCATTCCAGTCATGTGAACTATCCCACCATGTCTCTGTAACTGCAATGAGATCATGGCCCTGCGACCGCACACAGATCTCTAACTCTTCCTGTTTATTCCCCATGCTGCGTGCATTGGTATACAGGCATTTCAGAGAGCCAGTCAAGCATGCAAGCTTCCCAGGAGAGGTGCAAGAGAAGCCTCCATAGCCATGTTGCATGCTGTCTCCCCTGGCTGTATGCACCTGCTGGAGACATCCTGACTTGAGCGGTGTTTTACTGACTCTCCTGCCACTATACCACTCCCCTTATGCTGACAGTGTAAGCAGTACTAGGATGGGTTTGTCTACCTGTTTAGGAAATAGTACATTGCTCTAGAGAAGCTGTTGAGCACAGCCAGGGTATGAAGCTGGGTTTTAAGTGTGGTGTGGTCATTCTCTGTTAGAGCAAAATGCTGGCACATTCAATGTTTTTCCCAGCTTACTGTATTTCAAGGGAATATTCCATGGTTGATTGTGGGACATTTTGATTCAGTAATTCAATTTCTGAGAAACATTTTTGTTGTATTTTGTTTTTTAAATTCCTTTTTATGTCAGTCTGGAAAATAACGTTTGGTTTTGTTGCATCCTACAGATTTGCTTTTTTTTTTTTCTTTTGTTACAGTATACTTAAAATATGCATTTTATATTTTTTTTTTGTCTTCCAGAAACCTAAAAGAAAATCTCAAACTATTATTTAATCTATTCTTTGAAAGGGGGGGAAAAAAACCCTTGATAAAACAACTTGCATTAACTTATTTCTTACGAGGGCATTATAAAGAGAAGGCTACATGCTTCAGGCAGAACAGTTTGCTTTTCGGAATGATTCGTGGAAAGCCATATGATATTTGTTAGCTCTGCTGCAACTGTGATATCCTCTTTTCACTGTTTTTCTAGAAAATTTCAGGTTATATCATCTTTCTTTTTTCCTACTCTTTTCAGAGTAATTCTACAGTCCGATGTTCAGAAAAATAAAACATCTGAACCTAGCATTTCTGACTGTACAGACATTACTAAAAGAACTACCAGGTCTGCTGCAAGAAAAAACAGTTTAAAAAGGTGAGAGTTACCCTCTTTAAAGATCCAGACACCATTCTCTAGACAAGTACTTTGAGCGGGTGTATCCACTGCTGCTAGGGGCTTTTGCCACAGTTCAACTCCTCCTCCTAGCAAGGAGAAGCGAGTAACCCATCTTTTATGTCATGTGCTAAGAATATCTGGAGCTTTAAATCTCATGTCATTTGTTTATGTTGCAGAGTCTTTCAACTTTCAGAATTTTATATTGTGAGTTCTAATGTGAATAAGAATTACTGAAAGGTGAGGGATTCAGATAATGAAAAGCTATGCTTTACCAAACCCCTGCCTGGAATAAGAGGATGAAAAGTGGTTCACAGCATTGAGTAAAGTATTAGTACCTCAAGTAAAAACCAAGAGGAATTAGATGGACAATTAAAATGCACTCACTATTTATGAGTGTTTTCCTGATTTGTCTCCTTTTTGCATTGTTTTCACCATGTCAGTTTTGGTCCAGACTGACTGCTATGATTCTGGCCGCTCTTCTTTTTCCTCATGCCTCTCCCAGTTTTAAGCTCCTTGCAACTCTTGGTAGCTGTAAAAATGCATATGTGTAATTGAACAGACATGGTCAGTCCCTGGAAAATGCACTTCGGAGTAGGTGTTTGTGTTGTGAGAGATGAGAATACCTATTCTTAGGAGGAAACAACACCCCTATAATTAATTTCATGGAAGATTTCAGATACTTCTTTAAAATAAATCCTTCAGGTGTATTGCCACATTTATGACTAAGAACCAGGGACCGGGTTTTAAATGATCTCAAACTTCATTAAGTATGTGATATTTTAATGTATTTTCTAAAACCTCTACCCCAAATATTTCATTCCATAAACTGTTTCTTTTTCCAACTTTTGAGATAAAACAATTTCAGTCAGTTTATGCTTGGATCCTGTCATCAAGGTTGTCTTAAATACTTATGTCTCAGTTCTGGAGCTCTTAGTATCTTTTCATCTGAGAGGGCTAGTTGGTTGCAGGTCCCTCTAAAGAGTATTTGAGTATGATTGTACAGTTTCATGGACTTACTTATAATGCAGTGCCTTCCTATTATCCTATTGGTGTGCTTTTATTTTCCCTATAGCATTTGACAAAAACCTCACTCCATTTTGTTTTAAGCTTAGCTTTTTCTATCTCTTTTTATCTGAAGTTTATTCAAATTTCCTGAAGTGTATTCAGTTTGTTGTAACCTTATAGTGCTCAAATTGATTTATTCCCATTCAAATGTAGTGTAAGGTAGAAGAGAATACCTATATTTATTGTTAGAAATTTGAGATCTTGCCCTAACCCAACCTCTCTCTCTCTCTTCAGGACCCTATTGCCTTCTCCAAACTTCTGATGCTACCATCTACCCTCATTCTTTTATTTTTTTTGTCCAATGTGTTCCAGTGGAAACATTTTTCAGTATTTTTTTACATGAATCTCATTTGTTGATCATTTTAGTCATTTCTTACCATAGCTGAATCACATTTGTGATCCTTCCTAGTGCAATATAATCCAGAATTGAGTGATTCATTTGCCATTTCATCCCCCAGAGTGTATCCAGAATGATTCTTATCTTTAGCCAAAATAGCCATTTACAGCTAAAATACTCTCTTCTGGTTTTGCAAAGGGATCTTAGGGAGTTTCAATCCCATTCATAATGTTCACTGCATTTCCTTTACAGAACATATCTAGATATCAGCTGCCATCTAAGAAAGATAGCACCAGTGGACATCATACATAATACATAATGTCTTGTGACATTAGCATTCTCTGTATTTTTTTTTTCTGCAGATACCCTTGAGCTGTCTTGTTTCTCTAGTTAAGATGTGTGCCTTGTAAATATGCTACTTACTTACTGAGAAGTTGGTTTGTATTTTAAAAATATACATGTAGGAAATCACCCTAAGGACAAATGTATTATTTTTCCCTCTTCACGTTCTTGCTATTTAATCACTTGTAGTAGATGGACCAATGTGCTATCTCAACTGGAAAGTGAATAGAATGGAAGTAGAATCCCAAAATCTTAACCCTTAGCATAAGCAAGCATTGTCTTGTTTGAGCCCAAAACACTTGGAAGATTGGTATAGCATCCTCATTTTACAGCTGGATGAACAAAGATAGATATAGAACAAACCCACATCTGTGCCAGGAAACGTACGTGCGTGCATGTGTGTGTGTGTGTGTGTGTGTGTGTGTGTGTCCTGGACAACAGGGTGTTCCCTTTCCCATAGATACCCAATAAATCTCCAAACCAGGTGAATCGCACTACAACACAAATGAAACAGTCTTTCCTTTGTTATTGCACACTACAGCATTAAGATTGTGTCTATAGTAATTGATTGATTAGAAATGGGACTTTGGTGACAAGATTTTGGTAGGTAGCAGTACTCAGTGGAATGGAGATTAGGTTTAGTTAAAAAAAAATTGGTTGTTACTCTGGGAGAAAGAGGAAAAAAATGTATGAAAACTGTATTGTGTAGATTTGTTTACTTTTAAGCAGAGAGGTATATCACAAAAACTAACAAGGAATACACCTTGATAACCTACTATGCTTTTGCATTGCTGGGCATTGTAAAGCATTCTCCCTTGTTTAACTGAAAACTGCTTGCAGCATTTTCAGAACTTTGTGTGTAATCTAAATCTAGCTTTAAAAAATAATGTTTCTTTACTATTCTTTCTACTTTTTCCTACAGTCTGATACCTCAGAGGGAGAGAAGGAAAAGGAATGCTTTACAGCAAATGCGCTTAATGAAATTATGGTACTTTGAATCCTCTGTTGCTTTTCTGTATGAAGCTGAACCTTTTCTCATATTGTCTACAATTGGACCAGTCTGTGCTTTCTTTACAACTGATACTGCTTTGTTCTTGAATGCAGTGAAGTTTGTTTTCTGTTTCTTTCTTTGAAGTATTGTTGGCTTATTTTGCATTGCCAGAAATGTTTGCTTGAAATACTGAATATATTTAACTCTTTTCCTCAAATATATGTTTTATCATTTCAGCAACCAGTCCATCCCAAGGACTAGAACAGTATTGTGTTAAATTTCAAATAAGCAACCACTGTTGAAGAGAATATTCAGGAATGAAAGGGAATTCACTAGAAGGGACTTAATGCAATTCAAAAGAGATGATGCTTTGGCTCCATTTTTCAGCAAAGAAAGATTAAACAGAAAATCTTGTCTGTGTTTGTAGAATAAAATGAACTGTCAACATGCTTAATAGACAAGCGTCCTAATGTGCTAAACATTTCATCAAACAAAAACCAACAAAATCTAACTAACTGTAAATTTAGACTCAGGTGTAAATACCTAAGCACTCTATTATAAAGAGGACTTGCTAGTACATATAATGCACATGTATAAATTGTGATGGCAATCACTTAGTTGCTGACCACCAGAAGTGAAAAAGAAGGTGGGAACTTTAAAATATTTTAATGTGTTGCCCATTCAGATTGGGCTTGTGCTCAAGTCTCCAGTACAAACTCAACTGCAAAGGCTTTATTCTTATAGTGTGGGTACTCTGTTAGGTGGCTGTCCTTTCTTATTTTATAAGAATTTTTTTTTTTTATGAAACAGTCATGTTGCATATACAAAGTAATTATCATCCACCAAAGAGTGCTTTATTTTCAAGGAATGTGTTTTCTTTTTTAAACCTAACTAAAAGCAATTAACTTGTTTTTTAATAATAATAATTCTTTAGTTGTTCACCACCAATGGCTCTCTTAACTAGTTGTAATTGCTTTAAATCTGGTATGATTGTAAGGAGGAAAAAACAGTTTACCATGTAAAGCAGTGCTATTATATTGAAAGGGCATTACTCTTTCTTATTTACAAGCGTTTGAGCTGAAACTCTTTACCTTATCTAAAAGGTAAGAATTCTTCCCAGGCTTATTGGTATGTTTGATAACATTGGATGTCACCATTAGCTTTCTTTGAAATAGTTTGTTTTAACATGATGGACTATACCTGCCCCTGAGTTCTACTGCCCATTTCAGTGGTTCTGCAATCTTATTTTCCCCTTTGTGTGTTGCACTCATTAGCATCTCAAAATAAGTGTTTAACAGCTGATTAACACTTCAAAAAACTACAGTTTACCTCTTTCTGTGAATGTAATATGAATGTAAGTGGGCAATTTCAGTGACTAGTTCCAAAAAACATCCTTTAAAAAAAAAAAAAAAAAAAGTAGGAGGGTAGTGGAGAAACACACTGGCTTGAATACACCTCTTTAGTAAGGCAGAACATCATGAGTTGGAAGGTGAATAGGACATGGAATACTCTAACTTTGCAAATATGAATACGGGGGGGGGAGGGGAGGCTTGTATGAGGCAAAAAAAAAGCCAGTGGGACTTCACAAGAGGCACCTAAAAGAAAGGGACAAAATTCACTCTGCTATTGGTTTAAATTTTTTTTTTTTAAATTAAGCCACTTGCCCCAAAAGCTGATCTATCAGTAACCACAATAATAGGTATAATGTGTAAATCTGTGTACTTGTTAAGATAAGACTTAGCAATAAGTAAGTTCACTGACAACTTCCAACAAGCAGAAGGAAAGGATGAAACGAGTAAGGTAGGAGGATGAGAGTCAAAACAAGAAAGAGTAGGTAAGATTCATAGTCTTTGGCTTGCCCTTCCTCTGCTGCTGCTTTGATATGTAAAATTTCTGCTACTTGAGAACAAGGTATTTATAATACTGTTACTTCTGTATCCAATATTTTGATCCAAATATGACATTTGATATTTGCAATGAGTTTAAAAATAGCATCTCTAATAAGTATGCTTTTCTTGTTCTGAAATGGTCTGATTATTATTTTCAGGTAAAAACATGGCTAAAGTTATTCTACATCCCTTCCAAATACCTATCCCAAAAAAATAAACATTGGGAGGAGGAGAGGGGGAACCCCCCACACACACACCCCAACACCTTTTAAGTAACCAGAGCCATTAGCACTTTCAGGTTTATCAGAACACACAAATTTGATTTATATATATATATAAAAAAACAACACAAGAAACACTAACTACACTAGCAACTCTAGCTAAACCAAAACCACGTTTGGCATGAATGTGTTTTAGGCTACTATTTCCACCACTGTTTATCTTACCAGAAACACATGAATGTCAACTAGCATTTCACATTTGAATTCTCCAAGCAGCCTTATATGGAAAACTAATCCATTACCTCATTGTATTGCTTAATGTGCACTTTTGAGTTTTAGTACTTTGCACAAAGCTGTCTTAAGTACAATTATAAAGAGTGGGCATTGGTGAGGAAGTCCTTGGCTTCTAGGTCTTCGAGTTGTGAAATAGTGTGCCAAAGGGAATGTGTGTGTGCACCAGTTGCTTCAGAGGTATAGCATGGAGTGGCTGAAGAAAATAAGTTAATTCCTCTTCCTCTATTCAAATTCATAAGAGACAGATTCTCCCTTGATCTCCTACTCAAAAGTAGGTGACATACTCAAATACTGTAGTATCTTGGGTCAAATTGCTGGCTTCCATCACAGCATCAGTAACTTGCACAGAAGTTAACCCCAGACCTTGTCCTTTTGCCCCAGTTAGATAGAGGAAGTGCTGCTGTTTTAGAAACAAAAAAAGTTGACTCATGCATTAAATGGAAAAAAATTGAGTGATATTGTTTGTTGCACTGCAGTTTTTATAGTAATTGTTTGCAGACTGTCTTGTGTAAACTTGTGTACAAACTCTCAAGTTTGAGATTTTGACTAATCAGTACTGTTCATCCTGCTTATTTTTAAATTGTATATTTTAATATATTTTTTAACTTGGATTGAGTGACAGAATGGGATTTTTTTGCTGAAGGTATTCTAAAGATAAAGCTTCCTTTTTATCTTGTAATATTAAGTATTTCAATATGTATGTCTCATTTGAAATACTGCATATTGTATCTGGTTTTATACAAGATATTGAATAGTGAGAATTGTAAACATGAATTGTATAAAATTAAAGATAATTAGCAGAAGCTTATTTTCTCATTTTTATTTCCAGCATTCTAAAAAACTTAGAAGTTATCTACACAAATGTTGTCTTCTATGACACTAACTCATAACATATGTGCTCCTAAAAAATCTCACCTGCCTGAGAACCTTTAATTAAAGCACAAATCCTTACCAGATGCACCTTTTCTGATTTCAAAAATAAGTAAAAGTGTTGGCTCCACACTTCAGGGGACTCCCTTCAGAAAAGGGATAATTGTATTTGAATTGTGGGGATACT